TGGCACAGGTTGCCCACAGGCAGCATACAAAATAAGACTTTGCCATGGCACAGGTTGCCCATAGGCGGCATATGGAATAAGACTTTGCTATGGCACAGGTTGCCCACAGGCAGCATATGGAATAAGACTTTGCCATTGGCCACGGTACAGGTTGCCCGCAGTCAGCATATGGAATGAGATTTGCCCTTTGGCATGGCACAGGTTGTCCACAGGCAGCATAAAGAATATGACTTTGCCAATGCCATGGCACAGGTTGCCCGCAGGCAGCATAATGAATATGACTTTGCCATGGCACAGTTTGTCCACAGGCAAAATATGGAATAAGATTTACCCTTTGCCATGGCACAAGTTGTCCACAGGCAACATATGGAATATGGCACAGGTTGCCCGCAGGCAGCACTCAGAATAAAACTTTGGCATTGCCCTGGCAGGAACCCCCCTCCCCACACACACACACACCCCTGTGGCACACAGCCTCACTCACCCTCAAGTGTCACCTCCTTGCCTGCCTTCTTCAGCGCTTGCACAGCCTCATCGTGGGTGGCATCCCTCAGATCCACCGCATTGACAGACAGGATGGCATCCCCCACATACAGGGATTGGGTCTGATCGGCCGCCAGCCCCTTGAAGATCTTGCTGATCAGGATGGGCATCTTGTTCTCCTTGCCCCCCTTGATGCTGATGCCCAGACCCCCCAGCTCGTGCTTCACCACCCTCACCGCCCTCTTCTTGTTGGCGATGGCCTCCGGCACCTGATCTGGCAGGTCGGTGATGGCAGTCCGGACCTCCTTGGGGCTGCCGGGCTCCGAGGGGCTCCGGAACGATCCGTTGGTGATGCCATTGGTGCTGATGTCAGCCCCCCGGTCCTCGCTGCTCAGCACCAGGCACTCCTCGCACAAGTTGCTGCCAACTTTGTACCAGCGATCCCGAACCAGAACCTCCAGCCCGCCGCTCCGGAGCGCCCGACCTTCTACAGCCATGCCGGCACCATCGCCCGCACAGCCCGGGACTTTGCTCGGGGAAGTTGACACAACTGGGAAATAGTTTTAGTGCCAACTAATCGCTTTCTGCGCGCTGATCCCCGGGCTGGGTGGAGCGAAGCTTGGGAAACCCGAGAAGAGCTGAGCAAACAAAGCAGAACAAATAATGCATCATAATCT